TATATATATATATATATATATATATATATAAATATATATAAAATACAATAATAAACTATATTTCTCATTATTTTGTCCAAATTTGGGCAATATTCAATATCATAATATTTTTGCAATAAATCACTTTTTTTGCATTGTGTTCTCACTTTGTTGTTTATAAAAAAAAGTATTTGCAAGCATACAGAGCTTGTACTGAACAAAAGCTGGAACAAGAACAAATTCTGTCTAACTTTAACACCTCTGATTGGCCATTGTGTTCATGTGCTCAACAGACGTATTTGTGATTGGCTAAAATGCATACCGCTTCAAAAACAAGCTGTTAATAGAAACCTTTGATGCTCTTCACAGAGTGCGCACACAAATATGCACGTGCGTGTCATACTCGTGAGATGAGAAAGGTCTTCAGAAAACTAAACTAAACTTTTAACATTATGACAAAATTCATGATATTTCCAAATTTTATATCCTCACCAAATTTATCGCGATAATATTGCGAATATTCAGTATATATCCCAGCCCTAATTATATTAAATAGAAATAGTAAAATATATGCATTTTTATTATTTTACTTAAAAAAATTGGGACCTGGTTTTCTTGCTTTTGTGTCCCTACCCTGTAGAAAGTCCAGACTGTTTAAGCAGAGTGTTTTTCAAACTTCTCATTTTTCATTGATTACATTGGCATATCATGCCATGTGTATCACCTGGTGATCTCAGCTTTGTTGAGATCTTCTCAATCAGTTTCAGACTGTAGTTCTCTATGACAAAGGTTTTATATCTCCCACAAAGAGTCATTATTGCTTTGTAATTGGAAATCGTATTATATCAGCTCAGGCTGTTCAGCGGTGATCGACATCGACCACAAACCACATGTGGCCATAAAAATGAACCATTGTGTGCACACATGGTTACACTTATGTCGGATGGCAATGATTACATCACTTGATGCATATCGCTGTCTTCCAGTTGTAGAGATTTCATGATTGCATAAATCGCAGTTACAACCCCTTCCTGTGCGAAGGAGTCACTGTATTGCTTCATCTAACAAAGAAAATCGACCTAGCGGATGGGATTCCTACTCGTGGGACGTGCCTTTGGTGATGATGCTGCGTCGAGAGCTTGTGTGTAAGACGGAGGGGGGATGGGGTGTTGGAGGGAGTGGTTGCCAGAGCGACGGGTAACATATGCGACTGGCGCTGCACCCCTCAGACAATGGCAGCGCTGCTTAGCATTCAGAGTGTGAGACTTCCCACCGCCTGCCAACAATCGCCTAGGTCACAGAAAGTCTCTCACACACACACACACCGCCTGCCCCAAACCCAAACCTCTCAACGCCGCCCCTTTCTTAGTACCAGCACATCTTGTCACCTGCTTTTCCCCTTTTCATCTCCCTTGCACACAATCAGCCCTGAATGCCTATCAGGTAAATGCTAATCAAGGAGGGATAAGGAACTCTCGTTCTTGAAAGTGAAGTAGGTAATTTTCATTTATCTGATCTCAGTTTGATGCGTAGAGATAACTACAAGTAAGCTGTTTGTAGTGAGCTTTGGCTGGCTCTGTGATGCTTGAAAAACATTACATTGAGCAATTTGATGTGTTAGCTTCTGGCTCAGCCAATGGCATGAGTTTGGGGGCGGGA